AAATTTATTAAATCAATATTGTCTTGATATCGTCTTGATTTCGAGACAAGACAAGACAAGAATTGTATAATAATTATTCAAACGTTCATCATTCATTTCATATATCAGTCACCGTCCGCGAGGATTGTATTCGCGGCATGCACGGTCTCGCGTCATGATCGCATGCCTAATTGCTTTCGGCGCGACACGTATCATTGGAGAGGGCGTACAGAGCTCTCGTGTACGCACAGGGGGAGCACGAGTTCGCTTTTCCGCTACAAAACAACGAGAATATTCGAGAGCAATTCGACGTGTGACTTCCTTCGCATAACAACGCATTTTTGTATCCCGGTGTACGGTCACAAAGTTAATTAGAAATAAGAGAAAGCCAACTTACTTGTCTCGACCGCATCGCTACCGATCAGGATTACTCCGGTGGAACGTGTGACGGGCACATGCTCGTGGCGGCATTCGCCGTTTGTTATACACCGTGTTTTTGGTCCTTCGAGCCGGATACTCTAAGTCATCCGCGTTCACTGGAGATACAACCATCAATAAGCGGAACTTCCATCGCCAAGGAAGGAAGGTATCCCGCCATCCACGAGCAAGGATTCCACGTCGAAGGAAGGAAGGTATCCCGCCGACAACGGCGGAACTTCATCCAAGGGGAAGCAGGAAGGAATCCCGTCGACAACGGCGGAACTTCGTGCGAGGGGAAGGCATTCCGTCTCTGAGGGACGAAACCCCCCGCCATCCTCTACTCATCTCAACGCTCGAGCGCGGCTCATAACCTCAAGGTGTCAGAGCTACGGACCACGAGCTGCATTCTCATCGTCAGCTGCCACCATCATTCAGAGGCACGCCGAGGACAGCACATTCAAGGCCGCTTCCACGAGGAGGTCGCCACCGGAAGTCGTCAACAAAAGCGCGGCTGCGCAGTACCGGTAAGGAAAACTGTTCGCGGTAGTGCCGACGAAGTTCCTTGTTACGTCTGTTTCAAGCAGGTTAGCTCGCGATGACGTCTGCGCAAGATATCAGTGTGCTCAAAAAACATAGAGCGATCGTTAAAGGCGCGTGCACGCGGATTCACACATATATCGACGCGATTTCTTTTGCCACTCCGGCTATTGCTGCTCAGCTTGAGGAACGTAGAATCAAGTTAGACGAATATTGGTCACAATACAACGCAATACAAGCGGAGATAGAATTGCTTGACGAAAATGAGGGCAATGACCGGATCGGCTTCGAGGAAGCGTATTATTCGCTTTGCGCAAAGATTCGCGAACTTCTTAATCCATTATCAGCTCCGCGGGCGCAACCGACACAACCGTATTCACCGTCTACGTCGAGCGCATTCAATCGATCGGAAAATCATTCCAGTGTTAGATTGCCCAAGTTGAATCTTCCAACGTTTTCCGGCAAATACGATGAATGGTTTCCATTCTACGATTCATTTAATTCAATTATACATTCAAACGCGTCAATCAGTGACGTACAAAAGTTACAATACTTAAAGTCTACACTTACCGGTGACGCGAGTGGCGTAATCAGTGCATTAGAAATTTCCGCCGCAAATTATCAAATAGCATGGGATATTTTAAAGGAACGTTATGATAACAAACGAATGATCGTTCACACGCACATTAAAGCAATATTAGATTTACCCTCGCTCACCAAGGAAGATTCAACCGAGCTGCGTCGAATCGCGGACGGGGCAATCCGACATGTTCAAGCCCTCAAGGCACTTAAATGTCCCACGGCGCACTGGGACGATCTGTTAGTATACATTCTAACCTCAAAATTCGATCCACGCACATTACGAGAATGGCAGTCCTCTTTAACAGGTACTGAAACTCCCACATTTAAACAATTTAACGATTTTATTTCTCAACATTGTTTGGTGTTAGAGACCACAAACAAGGTCAGTCTCGCTTCCAAGGACACCAACAAAAATTCACAAACCAACGCAAAACGACAATCTACATGTGCAGCAACAGTCAAATCCAAGTGCAACTATTGCAAGGGCGAGCATCCCATGTATTATTGCAAGGAGTTTTTGGCACTGCCAATCAAGCAACGGGCGGTAGAGGTACGCAATCGCAAACTATGCGTCAACTGTCTCCGCTCTCCGATGCATTCATTGGACAAATGCACATCTAGAGGTTGCAAAATTTGCAATATCAAACACAATACGTTGTTGCATACGAGCACCAGCTCGGCGGAGGATCACTCCGGCACTTCCGGCACAGGGGAATCAAGCATACAAAATTCCACGACAGCCGTGACGACACATTCGTCGAACATTCAAGGCAAAGATCACATAATGCTTTCCACAGCTGTGGTCAATGTCATAGCCTCCGATGGCACATCACATTCATGTCGAGCTTTACTAGATTCAGGATCTCAAGCAAGTTTCATTTCTAGACAACTCGCCGCAACTCTTGGTTTACCACTACGCCCGCTAAACGTCACAATATCTGGTGTCAACAGTACCTCATCAAATGCTACAATGGCAACCAAGGTAACACTGCAATCCAGATTAAATTCTTATTGTAGGACGATAGACTGCATAGTAACAGAGCGGATAACCGAGAAGCTTCCACTGACTACTTCAAGGCGTGGAGACTACAACATTCCTCGAAACCTCAAGCTAGCGGACCCCCATTTCAACGTTTCCTCCAAGGTCGACATTTTGATCGGAGCAGAAATATTTTGGGAGCTACTTTGCATAGGACAAATCGAGGCCACTCACAGCCATCCAACTCTACAAAAAACGAGACTAGGATGGATTCTGGCTGGACGTCGCAGCATCACAGCGGCGCCTGCAGAAAACGTGCGAGCATTCACCACAGTCATATCCAATGCTCAACTGCACGATCAACTAACACGGTTCTGGCAAATTGAACATCTCGACAATCAAGTCGTAAACAACAAGGACGATGCTTACTGCGAGGAGCATTTCGAAGCTAACGTGGACCAGAACGAACAGGGCAGATACATAGTAAAACTTCCAATCAAGGAAGAATTAATCGGTAACCTTGGCAGCACAAGGGACATCGCATTACGACGCTTACAAGGAACAGAGCGTCGGTTCATACGAGATCCCAACTTAAGGGACCAATATGTCCACTTCATGGACGAATATTTAAAGCTAGGACACATGAAGGAAGTCAGCGTGTCTCCACTTGAGGATACAGCATCTTTCTACTTGCCTCATCATGGCGTCTTCAAAGGCGCTAAACAATCATCCAAGATTCGTGTCGTTTTCGACGCTTCAAGTAAGAGCGACACAGGATTATCATTAAACGACGTTTTGAGAGTCGGCCCAGTGGTGCAGCAAGATTTGATGTCAATCGTGATGCGATTCCGCACCTTCGTTCACGCTTTGATCGCAGACATCATAAAAATGTACCGACAGGTGCTCATACACCCTTCGCAAACATCTCTTCAAAGAATTTTGTGGCGCAGCGACTCCAAGGCTGACATCAAAACATACGAACTGATGACAGTGACCTATGGCACGTCATCGGCTTCTTTTCTCACAACCAGGTGCATCAAACATCTAGCCGATCATCACTCATCCACGTTTCCCATTGGATCAGCGTGTATAAGGCGCGACTTCTACGTCGACGATCTACTAACCGGTGCAAACACCGTCCAAGAAGCGGAGACTCTTCGAGATGAAACGATCGAACTATTAAGGCTAGGCGCATTTGAGCTTGGAAAATGGGCTTCCAACACCCCGGAATTGCTGGAGGCAACACTCAATAAAAATGACAAACCCGTTGTCATCGACGACGACGAAAGCGCCCACATCTTGGGGATCAAATGGAACGCCAACACAGACACGCTACATTTTTCATACGACCCGGTCATGTCACATGACGCAATTTCAAAACGGAAAATTCTATCGGACGTTTCCAAATTATACGATCCGTTAGGCTTACTTGGTCCAATCATCGTCATCGCCAAGTTGATACTACAAGATCTCTGGCGAGCAGGCATCGATTGGGACGAGTCAGTTCCTCAGAACTTACACGCACGATGGATTACCTTCAAGTCGCAGTTGACGGAGCTCAACCGACTAGCAATTCCCAGACGCGTCAAATACAGCATTGAACGTCGACATATACAAATACATGGCTTCTGTGATGCCAGTCAAAATGCATATGGAGCCTGCGTGTACATACGGACTGAGCTCGATGCGAACAAGTATCGTTCAGAACTTCTTTGCTTCAAATCAAGGATTGCGCCGTTGAAGGCTGTATCATTGCCAAGGTTGGAACTATCTGCAGCGCTTCTACTGGCACGGCTGATGGACAAGGTTCGATTGTCAATAGATACGTCTGACATCAAGGTGTTCTATGGTCGGATTCAACAATTACATTGAGTTGGATATCCTCAGAATCACGCATGTTTTCAGTTTTCGTTGCAAACCATATAGGAGAAATTCAACGGTTGACTCAAGCGACGGATTGGCGACACGTACCGTCCGGTCAAAATCCAGCCGACTTACTTTCACGAGGTTCAAATCCAAGCGACTTAATTCATGCAACCACTTGGTGGAAGGGTCCCGACTTTCTGCAACACAATGAGAATTTCTGGCCTACCAATCAATTTCTACGTCAGGAGGACACCTCCGAACTTCGAAAAATATACGTTAACATTACAGTCGTTGACACCAGTGTCATAGAAGACATACTCAACAATCATTCAAACATTGACAGAGCCTGTCGTGTTGTGGCATATTGCTTGAGGTTCTTACGAAGACCTGCGGGCATTACAACACATTTTGTCTCCCACGAAGAAACCGCGTCAGCATTGCAACTGATGTGCAAGGTTGTGCAACAGCTTTCATTTCCCGAGGAGTACAAGGCCTTGAGCAGCAACAAGAGCCTCAGTACATCCAGTGGGATTTTGACACTCAATCCATTCCTCGACGATGGATTAATTAAAGTTGGAGGTCGATTAAGGCATTCAAATCTAACACAAGACGCGCGTCACCCGGTGCTGCTGCCGAAAAATCACGAGCTATCAAGACGAATCATCACGCAAGCGCATGTACGTAGCTTACATGCCGGCACCCAACGATGGCCGCCGTCCGACAGCAATTTTGGCCTTTATCATTGCGATCTCTAATGCGAAAAATCATTTTAAGGTGCGTTAAATGTTTCAAGGTTAAGCCTGTTCATTCAGAAACCATTATGAGCTCCTTACCTCCTAGTCGCATCACTGTTTCCCGACCATTCTCGTATTGCGGCGTGGATTACGCCGGTCCGTTAACTCTGCGAGAAGGAAAACACAGAAACGCGCATACTCACAAAGCATACATCGCCATGTTCGTATGCTTCGCTACCAAAGCGGTACACATAGAACTAGTCAGTGATTTAACCACCGACACGTTTTTAGCAGCCTTCAAAAGGTTTATATCGCGCAGAGGAAAGCCTTCCCACATGTGGTCAGACAATGGCACTACTTTCGTAGGTTCCCGTCATCGTTTGCGCGAAGTCTCTAATTTTCTTGAAAGGGAGTGCATACAAAATGAAATCCAGTTATTTTTGCGCGAACAGCGAATAACATGGAACTTTATACCACCCAACGCTCCACATTGTGGAGGACTCTGGGAAGCCGCGATAAAATCGGCAAAATTCCATTTATATCGTATAATCGGTAATGCTCATCTAATCTTCAAAGAGATGCAGACTATTTTATGCGATATAGAAGCGATACTAAATTCACGGCTCATCGCTCCATTGAGCGAAGACCCCAATGACCTCGCTTATTTGAGCCCCGGACATTTTTTAATCGGCACTACCGTAGACAGTTTTCCTTGCCACGATTTGAGCGACATAAGCGAAAATAGGCTCGTTCGTTGGCAACGCATAGAACAATTAAGGCAACATTTCTGGCGACGGTGGAGTTCAGAATACCTTCACACCTTACAAGCGCGTTCCAAATGGAAGATTAGCAATGGGGATCAATTAAAGATCGGTCAAGTCGTATTACTAAACAGCAGGGGTTACACCCTCTGCATTGGCTGTTAGGGCGCGTACAAGGCGTTCATCCAGGCACAGACGGCGTTGTAAGAACCGCTGAGATAAAAACAGCAAAGGGCATTCTTACAAGACCGTTAACTAGAATAGCGATATTACCTATAGATGACTCCAGCGATAAACGCTAGACATCAAATATGTTCTGTTTTTCGCGTACAACTTTATCATGTTATTATACTCAACTTAGGTTAAGCACATCAAAATTGTTTGCGTTTGCACATATCAAGCATGCAGCGTCGCGCATTTTGTCAACTCTCAACGTTAATTCGTTTCAAAGGTTGTTTCACCTTTCGTTCACATTTTGAAAGCGGAGCCTTTCAAGGGCGGCGGCGTTGTATAATAATTAGTCAAACGTTCATCATTCATTTCATGTATCAGTCACCGTCCGCGAGGATTGTATTCGCGGCATGCACGGTCTCGCGTCATGATCGCATGCCTAATTGCTTTCGGCGCGACACGTATCATTGGAGAGGGCGTACAGAGCTCTCGTGTACGCACAGGGGAAGCACGAGTTCGTTTTTCCGCTACAAAACAACGAGAATATTCGAGAGCAATTCGACGTGTGACTTCCTTCGCATAACAACGCATTTTTGTATCCCGGTGTACGGTCACAAAGTTAATTAGAAATAAGAGAAAGCCAACTTGCTTGTCTCGACCGCATCGCTACCGATCAGGATTACTCCGGTGGCACGTGTGACGGGCACATGCTCGTGGCGGCATTCGCCGTTTGTTATACAAGAATCTTGATGTCTCGAATATTGCGTGCATCACTAATCTTCACATCGAGATATCTTCCTTCGTAGGGTACGTAGACAATAAAAACATATTTATAATATAATTTAAACACTAAAACTAAATTACGGATATATAAAAGTTGATAAATTCAGCCATTTATTGTGAGATCCGATAATCTCGGGTACACGGAACTCATCGACTCGCGTAAAGATACACGTGCGGTCTCGCGCTTCGCGTTCACTTGGCGCGAGACACTACCGTGTCTCTTGATTTCTTGTGAAAATTGTAATGCCAGTTACATGGGACAAACGAAGAGGCAATTAAAAACTAGATTACATGAGCATATCTCTGATATTAATAAAAGTTCTAAATCCCCTTCTGAGTAACTGATCATAGATTGAAATATAATCATAATTTTAAATGGGATAACGTCAAAATTTTAGGTATTGAGCCTTCTTATAGTAAAAGATTGATATCGGAGGTGGTATATATTAAAAAACAGACACACAGCATAAGCAAACAAAATGACTGTGACGTCCTGGTTTTTTATTGTGGGGTCGGACGTCGCGCGAGGGGCCCGTTTTGCTACTACCAATTGACCCACATGGTAGCTGGGGTCCGGTGGAGGGCAAAACACCGCCAGGCGCATCAGCCGGTTAAAAGGCTGGTTGCTGACTATGGTCGGTTTTCCCTTGTGCGTTTCCACCGACTTAAACGTCGGTTCCGCGTGTTCGGGTCGTCCGCTGCGAAGTACCTCCGCCTTCCTCACGTAGGGCTTGCCTCGTACCCAAAGCGCTCCCGGCTCGTACGCCCCTAGGTTCCCGGGCACCGGGTGATACACAGGGACCTCCCGGTGGATCCAGTCGGGATCAAGTACAGCGCGCGGATCAAAATCGGCGAATTTATTGTACTCGCGCACTAGGCGCCGGTACGCCATCCTACGTCCTGAATCCCTTCTACGGGGCATTTACCCTCTCCTGCAACCATTATCGTATGTGTTGGGTAACCTGGATTCGCAAGTGGACCAGCGATCGCTGTCGTTATTTTAAAACTAAATGGCTATCCCCGAGAGGAAGCGTAACCGGAAGAAACGGGGTGCGGCTTTGTGTTGTCGAAAGCCGCTGCAGCCCCGCTCCATAGGCGGCCGGAGTTTGTCTTGAAACTCGCGGCGGCCCTTTCCGGGAAGGCCTCCGAGCACCTCGAACTCCAAGCCGAGATTCGAGTGACAAGCGAGCTAACGCGGTGGCGTCTTCAGGAGGAACGAGGGGCGGCTTTGTAGTTCCCGAAAGCCGCTAGAGCCTCGCTCCATAGGCGGCTGGAGTTTGTCTTAAACTCGCAGCGGCCGTTCCCAGAGAGGCCCCCGAAACAACGCGTTTTTAATATAATTTATCACTCTCCGAGAATCCAGATCACTTAACATTTATGGACACCACAGACGATCACGAAACACTTAGGCACTTCATTTGCCGAAACATTATGACACTAGAGAGGTAATCGAATTGAGTAGAAGAAAAGTTGAACAAAAAGAAAAGA